AGGCTTCATAAAAATGAGCCTCCGAGAACACGCGGACGAATATCTATCGTAATTTAAGATGAGCCACAAAATTAATACAAAGAATTTAATTACTATTTACTTCTGGAGAAATTACAGGCAATGGCTGCCACACCAGAAACCCGCAGTAGGCGACATAGGATTGTTGCGGTATATTCAACTATATAGCTGTATATGTATACAAACACTACATACGGTCAGTGCAGTTAGGGCGGTAGCTCGCAATGCAGATGCAACGTGCCATCGATCCGGGTCGGGCAGACATCGGTGTTTGATGCAGTCAGATTTCGGCTGCGTGCAACCTATGCATACGTCGCCCTCAATACAGCCTGCAACAGAAAAATGAAAACAGGTTTTGTTGTCGTGATAATCGCCACGGCTACACCACGTGCACTTCTCTAAACACAACTCGGCAGAAACACGGGAGGTTTTATTCCCCCGTAGAATGGTAGTCGTCAACTTCTTACTGAGATCTGGGCGCAGGTAGACCTGTTCGCTGCACAAGATTACGTGATCTACGTAGGATCACGACGGCACACACACGCGAGACATCGGGACGGGTGTATAGATGGTCAGCTTACCTTAGGCTGAACCAGGTGTTGCCATGCCAACCGCCCGTGCACAATGCACCTCTCCGCGGATCGGATCGGCATGACCAGCTCCGTGCTCAACACTCGCACCGATGCCTTGCAGTGGGTAGCCGAAACAGAAGTCGGGCTACGCTTGTCAAAGAAGAAAAACAAAGGAATAGGACGACTTCGAACGCTTTTGTTGCTGACGGACACGGCGGTTTAATGACGCTAGGTTTACGAAAACACCACCGCGCAGGGGTTAATAATGACAAAATGACTTCTTTATTTTGTTTAAAAATTGATAATATAACCGCCTGCTGGCATGGAATATGCTGTGCTGACGACAGCTTCAGAGGCTAGAAACCATCGTATCTGTATGGGTTCATTAAACATTATGATGATACTGTGACATCTGATGTTTTATATAATGTCGAACTGATTCGATAATTATATAATATAATATATAATGTCGGGAATATATCGACACTGATGTCATGACAATACTAACACTAATTCCTAATAATGAAGCATTAATAGCCAACAATATTAGCTGATCCTGATTGTAATGACAATACTGACCCTGATAGGCGAGGGTTATAACATTCACTTTTCTTTGCCAAGTCTTGCTGCCAGGAAAAAAAGCAGGCGGGCACATTTACTAATCCAGGGTAGAATCTTTGATGCCTTTTAACATGCTATATTAAAGGAATTTCTTGCAGCAATGTATTTGCTGAACGGATGTTGAGAGGCAGGCAGTAAAACTGCTCATCTTTAGGCAGCAAAGGTTGCTGCTTGCTGCTCCTAATATCGAACCTGTAATATAATGACGGTTTGTAAGGCACAAAGTTGCTGGCTTTGCTGGCGCCTAATATTCGAACACGTGTAAAATGATGCTTTGTTCAAGCACAAAGTTTGCTGAGCTTGCTGCCCTAATTTTCGAACACTGGTAAAATGATCTTTGTAAGCAGCAAACTGCTGCTTACTAATTTCGAACTTCCACACGATCACCCATGTAGTTAAAAACAAAGTCAAATTGTAGAATAAGAGTGTTTAAAATTTAATTAACAAGCTTTCGAGATTACATCTCTTCATCAGATCAGCAAACATTGGCAATGTTTTTATATATACATATATGTGCATATCTAATATATATATATAAACCCCAATACAGGCTAGAGAGCAGGAAATGCTAAGAAATCTGGATAAGAGGTCAGATAAGGTGGGAGGGGAGGCAGTGGAGGATATAGAATTTTTTAAATTGGCTGAGAAGTTGCCATGCAGGTGTTGAGTGGGAGGAGGGGGTACACGGGGCTTTGTGTGTAGTCTGGGAGGGCGGGCGGTGAAGCTGGTGTGTAGCTTCAAGTGGCTAACAAAAATCTGCGCAGTTTAAATGCAGTTTTTCCATTAGCGTTCATACATTTCTTTACCGTCAGTTGAATTTGGAGCTCAATGGTTTCTTTTCTGTTATCTATTCTATTTTTTCTGTTAACTACATCAATTTCCGTTCCCTTTCGCTAGAAAACAGAAGAACGGCGACATAGAACTGCGAAATATATCCTCGGCTGCATCCCAGAATGCTCCTAACGGCCACGCACCGCCAGGGCCCTCTGGTGAGCTGCCCAGCAAGCGGCGGAGGCGCAACAGAAAGGCGTCTGTTGAACCGGGATACAAGTACAACAACCCCAACTACGAGCAGCACGTGGGCAGTGTCAGCAGCAGCAGCACGCGTCCACACAGGGCCAACTCCGCCCCCCACAGAATGAACCGCGGCTCGGCCAGCACGACCGGCACAGGTGAACGACAGATGTGTGTGATGAGCGTAACAGTCACGCAATCCGCAGCTCGAATCTCACCACGGCTCTTGCCTTCTCTTTCATCGGTGCTGTGGTTACAAACGCATCCTTACTTTGCTTGCTCACTGTGCTGTCCCTGAAAGTCTGGCGTATATCCACGGCAGTTCTATGTAGTTGTATAGCAACGACAGATACGCGATGAGCGAAACAGTTGCGCGATCCGCAGTTCGAATTTCATCATGGTTCTTGCCATCTACGCTGTGCTGAAAAACTCGCTTGCCATGCTGCCCCTGAAAGTGCTACGGCAGTAAACCGACATGGCCGTCCTACTTGGATTCCCTCTGTGTTTCCCACGTAATTACTTCCATGTTGTGCAAGTATTCCTTCCCTGTCCTACGTAAATGTTGTTGATAAAAAGTAGGTTGCCTCGGTGCCCACGCTTGAAGCGAATGTTTGCCATGGTGCTTCTTCCTGTAACCTCAATTTAATTAATTTTTGATGAAACCCAAGGCAATACTTGCTTTGGCCTAAGAAATTTTAAATATTGACTCCATCCCCCTGGCGATGGTGAGTAACACAAGTGCAGATATCTGAGAGGCACAGATCTAGATGAGAGACATTAGTGCGAACAACGTGAATACCCGCAGCTGTGCGTCGTGAGTGTAGTAACAATGTCTACTCTCTCTTGGGCAGGCAACGTCAGCATGAGTGGGAACCCGATCTACTACCACAGCAGCAGCGGCAGCCGAGTGAGCGACAGCGACACGGACTCCACCGAACACACACCGCTCACAACCGCCCCGCCCGGCACCGTCATCTTCAACCCGCTCGCAGAGATGAGCGACGGATCGCCCGCACGACCTCCAGACAACACCGCACACCCGCTTCCGCCGTTGCCGAGTAACGCGTACGAATACGTGTCGCCACCTGTCGACAACCGATTGCCGACTCTTTCCGGTAACGTCGACAGTTGTCGTCTAGTGTTCGTCTGATGTTTTTGTATCGGGCGAATTTCGTTTCTCAACGTGTTTCTTGGAATAAATTCATCGAATTTCACCTCTCGGCTCATCTCACTTCTAAAGCAGCTTGCGCAGTTTTGACAAAGATGACCAGACCCAGTCGTCGAAACTGTCGCTAAAAATTAATTAGATATTAAAAAATTAATCGCTCCAATTCGTCGGAAAATAAAATTAATTCGCCGCGTTTCCGTTTCGCAGCCGACCGTCCGTCGCCGCGGCCCGCCCCGCCCCCGCCCCCGCTGGAGGCTGAGGAGAGGGAGGAGGAGGAGGAGGATGACGAGGGGATGTACAGCGTCGTCGGGGAGTGGCGCGGCATCGTCTCGGACGACCCTCCCCTGCCGCCCGCGGAGGAGGAGGAGGAGGAGGAGGAGGAGGAAGATGGAGTCGTGTATGCGGATATCGAGGACGTGCCGGCGCGTGCGTGGAACGGCGACGCGGCGATAGAGGGCGCTACGAGCGGCGACGAGTACGACACGCTCGACCTGACGACGCGGCAGAAGCGCAGCGTCGTGTCTAGTGGCGCCCTCTCCACCGCCTCGCCGCCGAACATCTACGGCCGGCTGTCGGGGCCCGGCGGGGGCGGGTCGGGTCACTGGAGCGAGGCGTCGTCGCAGCGACGACCCAGCTCGAACACGAGTGACCCGGGCAGCCCGCCACTGCCGCCCGCCCGGCCGCCGCTGCCGCC